CGTTTCAAGAGTAAGAACTAGGCGAAATAATAGCTAAAACATGGCAAGAACAACAAGAAGACAACTCGAAGGGCGACATCTGCCATTTGGAGAACGTTAGCGGAGCTGAACAATCTTTAAACGTGCGCTATCGAAGATGAACTTAACATCGATTGAAGTAAGCTTGTTTTAGCTATGTTTTTAAATTAGGAATTATTTTGAATGAATAATAAAACAATTATTGAATTCGGTTTTTGTATCATATGAAGAATTACGAGATCTCAGAGGGTGTTTTCCGCCGAATTCATTAACTGTTAAATATTTCAATTCTTCAAGCGCAATCAAAATTTCCCAAAAGCAAACACGACTCTTTCGTTATGCAAGAGGTGTGCGGCAAGGCTGTATATTAAGTCCACTGCTTTTTAATCATTATATAAGCGACCTGCCTTCCGCATTTGAAAATACGTTATCTGACCCTTTTGTTTTGCCAAACGGTGCAAAATTAAATTTTCTTAAACAAGATTACAAAATTGTCTTCATTGATAAGCTGACTTCCCACTGTACCCCGTGGATGATGAAAATCAATCTCAAGAAAACTAAGATCATGGTCTTTCAGAAACGTGCCAGAAAAAATGCTGAACTTCGCTTTCTCATAGATGGTCAAATTATTGATATTGTACAAGAATACACTTATTTAAGAACTCGAATCTCCTCCTCAGGAAATTTCCGTGTCACCGCGCACATGAAAATATCGAAGAAAAGGCCCTTCATGCCCCATTTAGCTCGAGACGACATACGAATCTCAGCAAACTAAAAACATCTCTTGCTTGTAAAATATTTGATACGATGATCGCCCCTATTCTGGCATATAATAGTGAAATGTGGCGCATGTATGCCAAACCAGATTTTAAGACCTGAGACAGCTCGCAAATCGAAAAGACACACCTCCAAATTTGCACACGTTTTTCAGAGCTAAGCTTAAGCAACAAGGCTTCTAATTTTGCTTGTAAAACTGACCTTGGTCGCTTACCTACATTGTATATATTAAGTCTAAAGATGAAGAGTCTTTCGTTAAGCAATCTTTTTTAAAGTCATTTGATTTATACTGCAATGGTAAGAGTAGCTTTCGCTCTCTCCTGATGGAGATGTCCGAGTATTTCAACCTACCTGACTTCAACACTGATTTGTTAGATACCGCTATAATAAAAAACTTCGTAGGTTTGAAATAAGAATATATACCGTATTGGCAAAACATCCTTCACCACTCTCTAAAAGTAGAATTTTTTAGATCTTTTAAAAGCGATCATACCACTTTTAATTACCTAGACGTAACTAGAAGAACGGCTGAGAGAAACAAATTAGTAAAACTGCAAACAAGTAACTACAAATTAATAAATGATAGAACTTGGTAGATACAATAAAACTACCAGAGATAAAAGGAATTGCCCTTTTTGTTGATCCAATCAAATAGAAGACGAAATTCTCTTTCTTTTTAATTGTTCTAAATACTCATGGGCTTTGATAAGAAATAATTTTTACAATTAAGTTAAGATTCTGATTCCAAATATTACCCAGTTACCTGTGAACGTTTTGATCAATGAACTGATGAACACATCTAATTACCATATTAATTTACAATTCAGGAAATATACTTTATCTTGCTTTGACTTTCGCGACGAATTATTAACAAAGTAGTTTAATTGGCCAGTGATTAAATTTTAGTTCTTATTCTTAAACATAATTATAAATAGCTTTTGCAATACTATATGTATTTTTATGGTCCTGCAAATAAAGCTTGTTGTTGTTGTATCAGATATTTCCATCGCTTTCGTTTTGGGCTTTAGGGTGTGCCATTAAATAATAGATAAATCCTTTCAAATATGAATGACGCACAACCAATTTTAAATTCAAAGAAACAGTGGTAAGCAAACTGATGGAGGCTTAATATGGATAACGGTTAGTATGATGTTATTTTGGTCTCCTGACGGAACTGATCAAGAAGTTACCTTTATTTCTCTCGCATTTCTGACTAAACAATGCATCCCCAACCTTGCCTTGCATGTCACCAATGAGTGACCGAAATAGATTGTAACCAAATACGGAGTACTAGAGCAATCTAATTTCATTGTCGGTTTCTTTTGTTGACTTGTAGATATTTGTCACCTTATTGTGTTACATCCTGTTTCACGGGTTGAGGAAGAGTACAGTCCCTCTATGCCCTTAGTCGCAAAATTCAGGAACGTGTGAACTAAAGCCAAAATTTTCATATTTTCCGCAGTGCGTGGAGTTCTCGATACGATAAACAAGTAAAAAAAAAAACACGACTGTGAGCTCGAGACCAATTTGTCATCCGTGTTATCAGTAGGTAATCAAATGGTAAAGTGTTAAAATTAGGGCAAAATTTCACTTGTGTTTTGTCCAAATTCTCATAATTTCCCTCGCCTAATTAGCGGATTAGACTCCTCAAATACTGATATTATCGGAGTCTGGTATACCAAATAATTACAAATCTACTTTGGAATGAATTTGGCCACCGAATGGCCGTTTATCTGATAAAAGCATGTGTCAAGCTATGAAAATCCAGATCGACAAAAAGATCATCCCAGCAAAGGTGAGGGTACACCTGCCATTCGGAAGAGTAAAGTGGAACAAAACGGAAGGATGGGGAGAGAAAAATGTTTTCTAACTTTCTTGTTGCAGTGAGCAGAGAAGCTAAATGACTTGCTTTGATGTCTTTAGGACCACACATGATAATTGCCTAATTTCATACCGCGCAGCGGCCTGGCACTACCGGATTTTCCTGGACTTTTTACAAAGTCCAGTTTCAAAATGGCGGATAGTCAGGGTAAAAACTCGGACGAAAACTTTCTTTTTCGAGGAAATATTGATCAATAATCCCTCGGAGAATCTGCCTAAACTTAGCAAGGAAAGGATGCAGTGTTTCCTGTCATGCCCTGAAACTAAACTTAAGGAGCCGGTACTCAACCGCAAGTGCAAGCAATTGTTCGATGAACAGGTCGCTCGAACCAAAGATGATTATAAATTTTCTACAGCAAAGGATCCTCTGTTTAATTCTACCGGCTTCTGTAAAGTAAAGGATCATTGCAGGCAAGAACACAGATGTGATTGTGTATGTACCGATCGTAACCTAAGTATGCTGGAGCAAAATTTAAAAGGGCAGCACAGAAGGGCTTACCTGGATTATTCCCGTCGCGGAAAAGAGAGTTGTCCGTGAAAGGTACTGAGTGTAGTGAACTTTGTGGTCTTATTTATTTAAAACCGACTGTTCTTAAATCACATGCAGGAGAATAAGGGACTAGTCTATACTCAGTGCATGCTAGCCAAAAGGTAGATGTACGTGACATTCTTGATTGGATTACAAGGTGATTGCCCAAATTGTAAACATGCTCGTAGACCCAATAAGTTCCAAAAAGAAGCAGCTCAACAAGTGAGCGCTTGTAAGCCATTGCCATTTGACATTTTATCAATGAATTTATACATGTTTTGAGTAGTGTCTAAATTACTAGAATTGCAATGTAACTGAAAGGTACAGAATCACACGCAGGGACCTCAAAAAGAAACTATGTACTATATACAATTATCCCCGCAAGAAAAATTACTTCTGTATTATAACATTACTCAATGCATGACGTCTGGTCACAGGATATGCAGTGTTACCGGACGAGAAATGCCTCTCTTTTAAGACTGAAGTATATTTGCTTTTATCTATGTTCGGTTAGAATTGTGTATGGTCAGATCTTTAAGATTTTTTACCGAGACCGTGCGCAGCGACGGAGGGAAAACCTAATGTAAGCCTTGCCGACCTAATACGATATTGCTCTTTTACTCAGCGTCACTCTGGCGTGTTTTGCTTTTTGGAAGTTTTTATTTTACGGTTGGTAAAAACAGGTACACCCACTGTCTTATCATTCCCCCAATATTCGGTTGGATCCAGCGCCGTAAAAAAAAGGAAACACGACGGTTCTTTGTTCAAATTTTTTGCCGAACAATTCTGGAATCCTTCCAACACTTCCAAGTAGCGAAAGTCTCCGATTAGATCTTTCTTTTCTCGAGGTTTTTAATCGAAGTTCTTCATAGCGTAAAAAAACAGCACTATTCTTTGCTGTAGAATATTAACTTTCTGGAGTAATCTGGCCATTAATACCGTTTCAACTGCGCGCAATAACCTCTGCTTTACCCTCTGTTTTGGAAGCCATTTTGAATCCGGAATTTAAAAAGTCCGGGAAAAGTGCCAGGCTCCCGCGCGGAATGAAATAAGGCAATAACCCGGATGGCAGTGACGCCTCTCATTAGCAGCTGAAGTAACACGGCAACGTTGATCAGACACATTAAGCATAAAACTTTTTTTTTTCTTTTAAAAACAAATTCACTTATTTCAATGGTCACACAATAGGATTTCATACATTAACGTAAATGTTAAAACTACATAAAACTACATGTTTTTTCGATTGTTTTATTGACCCTGGGAGTAAGAAGAAATCAAGTAATGATCGATATCTGTTTAAATGGTAAGAGGACATGGGGAGCGAGGTAATCTTAATTTGTAAGAATGCTTCCTTTGTATATTATACTTTTCAATAATCAAGAAGCGTCCATAAATCGATGGTTGCACGTTTCACATTTCCATTCTTTGATTTTCCTTTTCTTCATGACATTTTTTTCATCCAGTCGAACAATGCCTGGAAATAACTGCTTCCTTTCAAACAAAGAGAGCATACTCATTAACACATACTGTTCCTCCATTGTCTTCTTCGCTAAAATTCACCAAGTCCTCACCGTACCACAAGAGTAATTCCTGATGTGAAGATATCCAATTGGGAGTCGACAGAACTGACAAGATCAGCTCTGGCGAGACAGAGACATATCCGGGAATCTTGTACCACTCTAAGGAAGGAATCGTGAGGAATTGTTTCGGTGGCAGAAGAATCCGATTGGCGGTGGTTGTTATGGTAACGCTGACTTGAGCCTGCAGCTTGTCACCGCAGCCCCAGTAAGACCAATTAGAGGTGTGAGTGTATCACAGGACACGTATTCATACAGATGAACGGGCTTAATGGCAGCCATCTACTCACTGGAACATAGAATCTTCCAAAGTGGCTATTTCTCTTCCCAAAACAAACCGGTGACGAATTCAGCTTGCGCCACTGAACTGAAAGAAAATAAAGAAAAGAAAGATTCTCACGGCGTATGCAAACAGGACATTATGTTCCCTAAACTGTTCAGTACACTGATTGAATGAATTGACAATAATGAACAATGGGAGTCCAAGGATGGACCCCTGCGGCACTTTAGAAGTAATAGCAAGCTCTTCAAAGGACTGAGAATTGATGCACACGAGCTGATTTCTTTCCAAGAAGTAGTCCTTAAGCTTTGGAAAGCTTTAATAGCATACGTAATAATAATTTAATTTATTAGTAATCTAAATGTCATGGTTAACTGTGTCAAAAGCCTTAGTTAGGTCGATAAACGTAGAACCCATGACTAGGCCCTTTCCATGTTCATGAGACTCTCATCAGCGAGATAGGTGACAGCTGCCTCAGTTGAGAGCATTCCTCTAAACCAAGGTTGCGTTTCACGAGAGGTTGGAGGTAATTTTCCGAGACTACCTTCCCCCCGGAAATACATTGCAAAGTTTTACCAAGGAGGCTCCGTCTAAAGGTTCAACCCATTACCCTTTTATATACCTTCCATTATAAAAAAGTGGTACCTCTCACATATCTACTAGCAAGAAGTCTTCTTATGAGTTGTATTTAGCGTTGGAATTAAATGCTACAACTATAAGGAGCGTCTGTAGAAGGCACAAGGGTAATAACTGGACCCAAGTGTAATAAAGGTCCTATCTATAATAACATTTTGAACCCAAGCGTAATAAGGTCCTGTCTGTAATGACATTTGGACCTAAGTGTACTAAAGGTCTCATCTGTTACAGACTGAGATAGTAATGAGACATGTACACAACGTTGACAATGCTCAAAGGCCGTTTGAAATAAAGTGGAACCTCTATTCCCTCAGGACCGACGCAAGAGACCCTTCAATAGCGGTTGGGCTGGGGTTTCTTAATAACTGACCATCTCTGTGACATTATAGGTTAAATTCACACAAGAGCAGTACATCGGGTTAAGTGAGATAATTCAGTTTGTGAAACTTCCATAATTATGATTAGGAGGTTAAACCGGGGTTTCGGGACCTAGAAAATGTGTCCCTTTCCCCTGAATAGAAGTGTCCCCTCAATAGAGGTAATAGATACGAAGATTGTGGGTGTTTTTCGGGGAACAAATTTGTGTCCCTAGAATGGAAGTATCCCGAGAGTAGAGGTGTCCCAAAGGCCCAGGGAGGGGGTTGCTCCCTTAGATGGCGTATACGGGGATGTGCCGCTGAACAGGGTATAGTTTTCGTCCTCTCTGTCCTAAACAGGGTTTATAATTTTGCGAAAGTCTGCCTTAAACAGTGTACATGTCCTTTAATTTGTCGCAAACAGGGTAATAAATTTGAGGGTTTTTTCCTAAACAGGGTCAGGTTTCAAACCCTCAGCGGCTCACCTATACTAAATTATTGGTCGAATACCCTCTGGGCCTAAAGGAGAGGTTCCACTGTACTTAAATTATAACTTCGCCTACTCTTTTGTCCAGACTGCAACTTTAAAAATTACTACCCTTTCATATACTTGACACCTGAAAAAGTCACCTCCTTTCGTGCTAAGCTTCACCGTATAGTCAGCAGCCGATTAGTCTGCTTCTGGTAGAGTCCATGAAAATGAGTTGAGGACCTGTTGTGTCTTTCAACTTCCTCTATCTTGTTTCGTGGGCAGATTCGCACCCAGTCTCAGTTCGTAGTTTGAAATAGCCTGCTTGGTTCATCATTTTTCTTCGCCTTCTGCCTCCCCCTCCCCTTCTTGCAGACACCCCAGTCAAAAGCTTTATTTTAACAACAGACGGTTAGCAGTTACCTCTGACGTTCAGCGCAGTTAAACTCTTTATTTTAACTCTAGCCAGACGAAAGCAGTTTCGTCTGACTTTGGGTTTTAATTACAACGGTCGCCTCATATTGTAGAAGTTTGCCCCCGCAACAAGATCAGAAACTCGGAAAATACGCTCTACGATCAGTTTTATTGCTGCACTGTTACAATGTATAAAAATCATTTAATCTTAACTTTTGCTATCTTACTAAAAAGTAAAAAAAAATTATGGGAATAATGCAATTCCCGGTTTTCACATGACATCACCAAAATTCAAAGTAAGGGATTATCGATTATTGTGAGTATTTTGTCTTATGAGATATTACAGCAGCTAAACACCTTTGTTTACAGCTATTTCGAGAATGTTTGTCGGAAAAAAATGCGCACGGGACAATCCCGAAAGCTAATTTGGGATATGATCAATACACTGTTACTGGCAGTGTAGCCGTCGAACCGACTTTTTTTACTTTCCTTTCGGACTCGCAAACACGTCCATTGCTTCTCGTACCATAGTTTCAAATTTCAAAACCACCCACAATAACTTTAATTTCGGGATTGTCGCGTGCACGTCTTCCTACAACCATTTCGAAATAGCTGTATACAAATGTTCGGTTCAAAAGGGCTCTTCGTTTTGCGATATAGGGACACTTGAATTTCCAACTTTATGAATTCCTCAAGCGATGACTTAATGTGTCGTTTGGTTTCCGGTGGCCATATTTGTACCCCTCAAAGGGACAACAACATGGCGTCTCCATACAAAGCTTTGTAAATTTGGGTAAAACATCTTTCCGAATATCTCGCACACGAAATATGGCAGAGACCTGATTTTTGGCTAGGTGTATTGTATATTGATCTTCTTCCATTTCCTAGATTCTGGACTTTCTGTATTGAATGGTTTCGTTTTTATTTTTAATGGCGTGACAGTGAAAACGGAGAATTGATAGACGAAACGAGCACAGTTCAATAGTCAAACTTGAGTCAAGTGAGAAAGATGATATAGCAAAATTCCCTTTAATCCCTTACATTTTTTAAAACCTTTAGAAAAGTAGCAATTGAATCTCTTATGTCACACAAAGAGAGCATAGACATCAGCGCACACTTTGCCTCCGTTATCTCCGCTTCCCTTGACCAAGTTTTCACCGTACCACACGCGTAATTCTTGGTTCGGATGAACCCATTTGGGAGACGTAAAAAAGTGCAGAACAAGCTCAGGTGAGAGGGAATTATATCCGGGAACCTTGTACCACTTTAAGTTGCTGATCTTCTGGAACTGAATTGGCGGGAGTAGAATGTGGTTGTTTGAATCTGTGATGACAACATTGACTTGAGTGTTTATCCCGTTCCACGGATTGTCACCACAGCCCCAGTAGGACCAGTAAGTTGGATTTGCAGCGAGACAAGACACGTATCCGTACAGATGAACCAGCTTTACGGCCGCTAATCTTCCCCCGGGAACGTAAAATCTTCCGAACTGGCTGCCTTTTGCTTCAAAACATACTGGCCATTTATTTACTTTGCGCCAGCCAACTGAAAGAACAATTGATTTTTAATTTGAAATTAAATTCGATTATCCTCTTGGAATTTTTTTAAACTTCTCGATAAAATACGCACAACAGTTTCTATATTTGTTAAAAACGCTTAGAACCCCCTCTTTAAGCAGAAGGTCAAGTAATCAAAGTTTACCTTTCACACCCCCTAGGTCAATAATTGAAACATTTTTGTACATACTGTATACGATATACAAACAAGGAAATTGTGTATCATTCACTGCCTTACCCGAGATAAATTGGAGTAGAGAAAGCGGGCTGTAACTTTGGAGGGTTGCAGGAAGGTACAAGCGCAGGATTCCTTGCGAGTTTTCAGTTCTAGCTGATTTAACATGTAAGGCTTGAGTTTATGATAATTATAAGGAGAAGCAATTTCTTAAAGATTCTAGATATTAAATTCCCACAACCGAAGCCTTAGGAAAACAATTGAGAGAGTAAAAATCAGCGATATTGTAATGTGTAATGACGTTTTGATGTCCTCATGTCATTATTGACTTCAAATTCAAAAGTAGTTGCATTTGTAAAATAATTGACCTAGTGAATTAAGATGCAAAATGCCACTTATATAAACAATAAAATGAAATATAACAGAAATGCTCAATAAAATCATTTTAAACGTCATTATCAAGTCAAAACCTATAACTGAGGTGTCAAGAAAATACATAAGAAAATGTTCTTTTAAGGCAAAGAGCTTCAAACCGATGGAATCGGCTTGGGTTGGGTGCTTTTAAGCGTATATTGCGCGGTTAATAAGAGAGCTCGTTCAAACCTTCCTTGGGACTTCACGAAGAATGTGAAAAGACTTTCTTTTGAGTTTCGTACCTTATTGGTACCAAATTTCGCGATTTGGGCGAGCTGTTTCAGGTATTTTCACGCTTTCAACAGGCAAATTTGAAAAAAAGGCATTAAATTTCGCGATTTAATAGTTCTCAACTTCATTCTATTTCTCAAATTGTCTGAACTTTTTACAATTTCTTGGAAAATTAACGTTATTTCACATTTAACCGAAGATAGAAAATAGAACCTACCAGTAAAATCAGTTAGCAGTTTTCCTCCTACTTTGTTGATACCCTTGAATATGTTGTTGCTATGTTAATATTTTTTTCTGTAATTTGAATTTTCTTTATGGGTATTAAATACGGTAAGGGTGTTGAAATAACGCGAGAATTTTTATTCGCAGGTCTTTATTTCGTCATTTCTTTCCTCAACCGCGAAAAACGCAAAAATACTTTTACTGTGAAAGACCCGCGAAATTAAGTACCAATAAGTTAGTTAAATTCAGTTACGATACACTGTAATCATGTATCTCAGAGAAAAGCTAGAGATCTGATTTATAGTCTGAGAAAACCGAGACTTGCCCGAAACTCGAGTTGTGGGACTATGTGAAAGCCGAGCGCGACGGCCGAGCGGAAGTTCTTCAAAAAAATGAGAGCCAAGGGAGGGAATGAGTGCGACGAACTAGAAAGAAGATCACCGAATCGATCAAAGGACTTTGAGTGCGGTGATCAATCAACAAACCTGTGGCGATTTCTCTCTTCAGCCTGTTCAGCGAATCAGAACGGTAATTTACCGAGGGATCATTCTGCTTTGACGCCAGCACTTGGGTGTCTTCTTGCCGGGGAATACTCTCCGCCAACAGAGACAACGCGCCGAGAGAAAAAACGAAAGCAAAAACCCAAATCAACTTCATTGCTCGGTAGACAGACAACTTGAATAAGGTACTCGTTCTAAAGTGTGCTGTTTGGTTGTGTGGCTAATTTAACTTCCTTGCACAGATTTTTTACCCCGGCCATTCTGTTCGTGTTAAAACAAGATCGGCTCACATTGGCTTTGGCTGTAGATCATTCATGGTACGCCCTGATTGGTTCCGGAGCACTGAGCGATTATATTAAACATCCGTTTACCGAGGTGTCCTATCTGAGCGGCTGTCGATAAATCCTGGAACATGAAGTTCTTTCTCATCCTATTTGTTATTGTACTTATCTGAAATTACTTTTTAACCGCGGCGACAGCTGTACAGAATGATGAACTTGGTAAAACAGATATACTACAAAACAAACCAAAAAACTCTGAGCCTAAACAAGGTTGAGAAATACTATTTAAGGAGCCCGGTTAGTGCCACCTAATTTCGCTCATCAAGTTTCTTTTACACCACCTCAGTCGTTTTACGGTCGACTCCAATTTACTTGTCACGACTTTTTTTGGCACGAATTTTCCCAGGGCGACATTTTTGGCACGTCGTCTTAATTTTTTGCACTACTTTTCCGGCACGACTTTTTGAAGCATTTGTTTTATCACATACCTTTATTCCCAATTCGTTTTACAATTCTCGTCGCCAGTCCAAGATGGCCGTCTTTCTCATTATCATATTCTACTTACCGTAAATGATCGATTAAGCGTCGCGATGCTTATTTAATTTTCCCTGTTATAGGTGCGGCGCTTATACGAGAGCGGCCTTTTATTTCAACTACGGGTAAAACACTGTGAGGAATATAGAGAGAATTAAGTGAGGCGCGTACAAGGTGTGCACAATTTAATATATGATATATGGACCTCGAACTGTTATATAAATATAGCCCGTTTTCAAGAGATTCCCTACCTACATTAACACTTTACAACTCACGAGTTGGTAGAGGTCTTATTTCTCAAGTGATATAGTTTTGATATCTCTTTTTATTATATAAACACCAATGAAATACCAGGTGAGCTTTCGAGCAAAAACTTGATATCTTCACATGTGAAAATAACATGTTATCTTCACATGTGAAAATATCACCTTTGCTGTGGCTACTTAATAAATCGCGCCTTTCACACCAAAAAACTATTAAAGTGAAATGGTTTGGTATTTCATTGGTGTTTATATAATAAATAGAACATTACATGGCCGCTTGGAGATACGAAATTTCTCTTCTCGTGTTGAAAAAATATTTCACTCGTTGGCTGCACTCACTCGAGAAATACTTTTCAACACTCGAAGAGAAATTTCGTATCTCCGAGCGGCCATATAATATCCCATAGATATCAAGCGCCGTAACAAGGGTGGGGCGTTAATTTGTTAATACCTAAATTAGCACCGCGGCGCTTGTTCAGGTAGCAGCGCTTAATCGATCATTTACGGTACTCTTAACTCGAGGACCAGTGAGGGTGTTAGGCTTCAAAACTATATTCCTACATTGCAACTGAATCGTGGTGGATGTACCGTAAATGACCTAATAAACACCCACTCCCAAATAAACGTCTCTTATCTAATAAACGCCCCTTCTACCCGGCTAAAATTTTGTTAGACGCCCCCTGTCTATAGGACGCCTCTTGGTTGCTTGGAGGTTAGATAAGAAATGAGGAGGAGATAAATTCTTAAGGAGCCAGTGTGCAGCACAAGTTACACAGTAACTACTGACTGCTTTACGGTACATAAAATAGTCAGACTAAACTTAAACTGGAAAAAGATTTATAGTTCCATCGTTACAGTTTATAAATCTAAGGTGAAAATTTCCAATGATGTCTAGGCAATATTAAATGCTGTAATTTCAAGCAATCTGCGACAATCAAAGGCAGCACCACGAGGCAAAGATCAAGTCAAATCAATGACATCAAGGAAACATCAATGAAGACGTCAGTATGAAAAACATATTCACATTTCCCATACTAGGGAACTTCGAAAATAAATAGACTAGTTCAATTTGTAGACTAGTAGTTTCCATTGGCCAAAGAAGTGCTGGGTAGAGTGGCACATGCGAAGTCAAGGACAAAGCACATACATGACACATACGTAACGTCAGAGGAGTAGTTGAAGTTGCTTCTAGTAGTTGAAGGTTAATCAAAGGCTCCTAGGAGCGAGCTCATGGATGAATTGAATTAGTGTAGAAAAGACAGTTCAATAATCAAAGAAAAACATATAAATCTTTTTGAACGGTTCATTGTGTACGGACTTGCCAAAATACAGCGTGACTCGAAGTATCCGATTGCATGTGTACCTGAATATTCTACAATGATTCTAGAAACTTTTTATCAGCGCAGCATTTCTACTTATAAAGCAAAGATCACTTTTAAAAGCAATTATTAACGCTTTTTAGTTGTAAAATAGTTTGCTTTCTCATGTGACTGTCAAACACTTTCCGAACGACAGCGCACTTTCTTGTAAAATAGCCAAGTTTTACATACATGAGTTTTATTTTAACCGTGGTTTAAAAAGTGCGATGCTTTCAAATAGATGTTTCCATATGATGAGTACGTAACGGTTAGTATATGCAGTACGAGCTATATTAAAGACAGAATATAGGCGTTTATGGCTAAATTGAACTGCTTTAGAACGCGCTTTTGATAAACACGAGCTAAAAATTATTTTAATACATGTAAAACGGATTAAGCTCAAAGCAGTACTAGTCCGGGGCCATGTGTAATCCCGTGGGCATTTCATGAACATTTTAGTTTCTTGCAAGGAATCTAAAGTTTAAGAGGTGTTAAATCGTAAGAAAGTTGTCTGCAATTTTTTCGAAGTCATGTAAGATTAATTTATGCAAATTACATTTATACCCCTAAAACACAGGGTACTCAAGTCTGGCTTTGTTATACATAGCCGAAGTCCCTCACATAATCCAAAAGAAACTGTGTACAAGCACGCTTTTAAGTCTGTTCTATCATATAAAGCCTCTATAATGCCTTTTCCGAAAATTTAGAATTCTTAGCTGATGAGACTAGATTTGAAGGTCCTCATCGTAACTGTTATCCGTTCTAACATGCTTAACTGTGTCAGTGTTAAAGTTTCTGTTCGTAAGTTTCACTTTACATGAACCAGGCATATCTGTGCATTAGAGGTTGTGCTTCCTGCACGTACAGCTCATTGTGAAGCATGCGAATTTCATCGACACTGAATCAGCTGGATAAGGTGCTGGTAGGGAGTGTGGTTGGAACAGGCTGCATCCCCATCTTGTTGCCATTCGTGTAACGTTAGGCTAGGAATGCTAGTATTGGGTTG